TTATTTTCATATATTTTATTAGTTTTTTCAAATATCAAGCCAATAGATTAATTATGGAGCTCCCAACTGGTCTTTCATTTTAACCCACGGTGCTAGGCAAAGTGCCATCCTGGCCCTAGCACTACATACGTCCTGTATACAGATCCCGGAACCAGAAGAAAGAATTAGCGACTCTAGCAGAAAATGTAATCACCGCAGACAACGAGTGTTTTTCTTCTATGTTCATGAGAATATCTCCTGAATCACTCGAAGAACGAGGGCTTCTTAACTTTAATAAGTAAAATTACAAAGGAATGAACAGAAAAAATGCCAAATAATAAGGAAAATTTTTGAAGTCGAGATCGTTTTTGGAGATTTCTTTCGTATATCTACAGTGTGTCCTATGCTCACGGAAATTCAAAGGTTGGAATCATCTACCGCCGAAGTAATTTCACCATGAGAGCCGTCAAATTACGAATTAACGACTCCATAATTTAAGGTTAAAAGACATGCAGCGCGAACCAATGCGAAGATACGACAGGAAATGACTCATCCGATTCCGTTGCGAAGAGTACTGCGACAGACTGCGCAGGTCCCACGCATCTCCAATGCGACCGATCGCAACGCAGCTCTTCGCAGTGTGCACGAACCCTTAGATCGATCGTGTCACCAATGTAGTCCATTACGTTTTTGTTGGACCAGTGTGTAAAACAAGTTTAATCATGTTCAACCAGCTGCATGTAGCGAGGGTTATCTGTTCTTCCCTGAGGACTCGGATTAAGATTGCTCCTTAAAAGCAATACTTTTGGAGTCATCCTTAGTTCATTTTTCGCCAGCGCCAAATTACTCTTTATCGAAATCGAGGATCGTCTCTAAATATTTTCATATGGGTAGCATAAGCCCGGATAATGAAACTCAAATCCTTTAGGCATTCTATTGACGAGATTCAGTCTTGAAATTGACAGTCTCCCCCTTGAACAGAGTGCACAGTGGTGTGTCACAGCCCTCCACATCAATTCGAATCAGAGTTCCAATAGAATTTCCAGTGGTATCCATATTTCACCATCATCATTATGACGGTGGAATCCGAAAAGTGTAAAGATACTCATATCAATGGACTCAGGCTTACCTCCACGGGAATGGCGGGAACCAAGGCGAGGAGAACCTTCATCGTGTCTCGTGGAAGCGAGTATATTTCGGACCCAAAAATAACCCGATGTATAGGGAGAATAATTATATGAGCCGCACTTCCGCGTTGTACACGGGTGGGAGGTTCCTCCGGTCGCAGCTTGCATCAATTCACACGATTTTTATTACCGGATTTAAAAAAAAAGGCTGTCATCTTCCTGGCACGTAAACGTCAAAGTCATTACCTCAAAACCCACAAGAACTTACGTGGCCATTGCTAACATGACGATAAATCATGCCCTATACAAGTGGACTACACTCATTTCATCATCTACCGTTTTTATTTCTATTCACGAGCTTATAAGTCAGTGGATGGCTTTCTATCGTCTTGTCACTTTTTAAGCTGAAATCCCACCTCTACATGTACTTATCATGTTCTTACCAATTTTTTTCTCTTAATCTATCCACTTGAGACTTGCGGGATCGCACCGTTCGATGTCCTTCAACCTAGCCTATGGCCTAAAAAGGCATAGGCTGATAAGCATTGTGTGACAGGCTAAGGTAGCAGAATTCTAGGTTCAAGAGGCCGGTACGTCACTTGAAAAGGATGGGTTTACCCATTTGCACCCGCAATCGTACTAGTACGCATAGGCTTGCAGACCTCGCGTGTCAGATTGAGGTAGCAGTATTTTTTTGCCAAATAGACCGGAAAGTTTCCGGATGGGAATGGGTTGCACACGCGAACGGGAAAATTGTATGGAATCCAGAGTGAACTTTAGATTTCAACAAAACTTATGGCGTTGAAATGTTCATTTTTCATCTTTTGCATGCATATGGTATCCAACGGTCAAAGTCGGTACTCGGTAGATGTAAATAAAAAACAATACTAGATTAATTAGTTAAAATTACACCTAAATAATGAAGTTTCCTTATTTTTCTAATGGGGGAACAATATTCCGTGTCTGAAGTATTGTTTGAGGCAATTTTTACGAAAATAATTTTTTTTTGGAAAAAAATGGAGTGACTCTTGGGAGACCCCATATTCATTTTTCGCCAACACCAAACGATTCCGTGATAAATTGAGAGAGGAGTCATTCGCATTTGGTCATCTTCAGATGTGTAGCTCTAATCATTATTAATAAAGTGTTTCACTGCCAAATAAAAATATTGGAGTGAACCTCGAACTGTCACCTTTTGCAAAGGTGGAGTCATGGTGTGTCATGCTAAGAACTTCCAGTCGATATGCGGAGAGGACTTGAAAGCAAAAAAAAAGTCAGTGTAGATATACAAACAGTGGAAGAAATTTAAAAAAACTATAATTGTACCTCAATAATTGAATACTAATTTCGTTTTGAATTTACGCCTCACTCGTAATGACGGAAGTTTTTCGTACACTTATAATTAAAATATCCAGATATCCTGGAAATATTTATTCAGACTCAGGAAAGGAATTCCATCTATTTAGGGAAACGGGGATAAAATTGGTGCTAGAAGTTCTTCCCTGCGCTTAGAAGAGAAACTTTCCGGGCAGTCTGGGTTTCTTTTTGAAATCTACGATTTCCACATCCAATTCGAAGCACACCTGCCAGTTACGTGACTCATCCGTGAGGGCCCACCTCACCGTCAGCTCGATCTACCAGTAGACATATGGAGAGATTAGGTAAGTGGAAGTATACAGTATATGCAGCACAACACTTATCTATTTAGAGAGATGAAAACTCACGGAAGGGTAGATGGCAAGAACTTCCATTCCCTCAGAGTAAACCAAGTGATCACCATCAGCAAAGGGACACCTTCCTTCGATGAGGGATTCGCAAGCGTTCTCGGGCACGCCGCCGAAGGGGACCGGGATCCCACCGATAATGCCCCACACTTCCGGTTCCAATGAGGCGGATGATCCACCTGATCGCAGATCACATACCAGACTTCGTATGATACTTGAAACTCAAAATATTAAATTGTATTAAGTCGCTGGAAATAACATACAATGGCTTCAGTAACTGAACACTGAAATAATGAAGAACACGATACGCTAATCTTCTTTGAACTACGCAGCCTTCATTGTTGAAAGGAAAGGTGAATAACTCACCTGCATTGAACTCAATCTGGAAATTGACGGTCTCCCCCTTGATCAGAGTGCACGGTGGTGAGTCACAGCCCTCCACTTCAACTCGAATCAGATCTCCAACGGTGGTTCCAGCTATATCCAAATCCCACCATCATAAATTAGAATCAGAAAAGTAGGAAAACCGAGAAATCGATTAACTCACGGCATTCCTGAACGGGAGTGGCGGAGGCCAAAGCGAGGAGGGCGAAGACGGCGAGGAGGACCTTCATCGTGTCTTGTAAGCTCTCTGTTGAAGCCAGTGAATTTTGGGACCCGAACGTGGCCTTATATATGGGCAGAATACTCCAATGAGCCGTATTTCCTGCATTGAACACGTGAGAGTTTTCCAGTCGCAACTGGCATCAATTCCCACAATAGATATCGGGTAAAAATTGATGTCGTTTTCTTCCTGGCACGTGGACATCATCGAGCCGTAGGCAAGAAGAAAAACGTTTATCTTGAAGTACGAGGGCCATTAAAGAAATTCCCAGAATGGATTCATGAGCCTCTACGTGCCAGTCTCTATTTTTTCAACGAAGGAATCTAATTTACTGAGATTATCCACTTAGTCTAATTCCATTCCCTTTCGAAAGCAGACGGATGAGTCATTTTCGGGATATATTTCAGGCACTGGGAAAATCTTCATCAAAAAGCATGCTTGGTATCACAGTCAGGGGTTTGCAACGGAATGGAACATGGAATACTATTCACTGATGGCAGAACAACGAAATTTTAGGTTTTGTAAGACAAATATGGTCAAAAGAAAGTCAAATGTGTGGCTGTGCTGGATGTCGGAATTTAGGGAAAAGCATGTTCGACATGTCAAATCGGAAAGTCAAATGCGACAGTTAAACATTGTATACCATAACAATATGCTGACACCAACCATTTGGGCCGGGAGGCCAGATTTCACACATGACAAAACAGAGGAAGATTTGAGGCTCTTCTTAGCCCTCAATTGGTATCCTTGTTATTTTCATTGCGTCACTGTTATTGTGGGATCAAATTGGCCCCAGAAATAAAAAATCTCAATAAAATGAAGTTTTTGAGATGAAGAGTCATTTATCGTGGCAATACATCGGCTAACTTCACTACAGCGAAGCGGCATGGCAGTAGCACATGCCTATGACGAACAATGACTTTGTGGAAATGCAACGAGAAGGCATTCCCCTAACATGGGTATGGTATACCATGTGCATCTGTCGCAATTGACTTTCCAAACATAATTTTCCCTAAATTCAGACATCCAGCTCAGCCACACATTTCACCTTCCTTAATGCAACCCCTTTTTTTTCTAAAGTCCATGGAGTACAGGGTACGGATTAATGATTAATGGATGAGGAAAAAGTCCAGGCTACTTCACAGGGACCACTTGCAAGTGGTCCCTGTGAAGTAGCCTGGACTTTTTCCTCATTACGGTTTATGGTTGCCATCAGCTGTGTCCATCTTGATTGTATTTCCGTCGATTGCAAAATCTCATGCTCTTTTCGCGCACAATAATTAGGAGATTACGAAGGACGGGAATCCATTGAAGTCGATGAACGCAGTCGACGACGAGCCGTGAGGAGGAAACAGAAAGTGCAGGCCCTTTCTGTGACGTGTTCGCTATCAGACATCAAAGCGACAAACGACACTCGATACTTGATGAGCTCCAGCAGCCTTCAGGCGCGTTCCAGAGACTTAACAAGTGGAAAGTGCATATAGACGATCATGAGTGACTAAAACATGGTACACGATTAGTAGTTTCTTTATTGACTCAAGCAGAATTCATACATTGGTGGCACATTTCGGGGGGGGGGGGGACTGGTTTTTTTAGCCTTGGCATAACCCACGAATGGACACTTAGGCTTGGGTCATTCTCTCATGAGCACTTACGTACTTACTTCAGCGAAACCGGGAGAAACGTGAATAGCCGCTAGGTTGCAGATTTTAGAGATTGTTCGACTTTTAGAGGTACATGACAGTTGTTTTTTGTTTAACCAGATTGCTATGTCGTCTGCGGATTGGGAAATAGAGCAGTATTGGTAGTACTTATCTTCTTGAAGTTTTTCTCTCCCTTGTCCTCCATAAATGGAACGTCTCTCCTGAACAAATTCAGAAAATATTTTGCCCGTGAGTAGCTCACATGCATTTCAAATTCCACTCAGGGCACCAGCTTATGGCTTCATCACTTTCAATAACAACAAGTACACCAGTGAAAATTATACAGAAAGATCACCATACATTGTATAAAGATATCATATGCAATCATTTATCTCAGGGATTTCATCACTTTGTGAGGTTTGAGTGGAGAAGTATACTTATCCCTAGGATGCTTAGAAGTTTGACTGAAACTAAACCACAACGTTCACACTTGAGAGTTATCTAACCATTGCGGAAAGAGGATGCGCGATGTATGGTGGCGCTACTGTACAATGAACCTATCAGGTCAAAATTTTCTCGTTAGAACTCAGGAGGTAATTTCGTATTATTGTCATAAGAACAATGCAATATTACCTATTTCAAGCGTGAAAGCTTTCAGAGTCTATAGTTTCAGAAGTGGATGCTTCAGCGAATTTCAGTCCTGTTCGATTCACTTCAATAAGGCTTACCCACGAACTGGATTCAGGCATTATAATAGGTTAACTTGGGAGAATACAGAAATCAGTGTGTCAAATGACGCACAAAAGTGGGTCCAGGATCGTCTGGGTGACACGGAATGTGTCTTGAGTTTTGACTTACTGATACATGTCATTTGGCACATCTTACTGCATCAGTAGACACATTTAAATGTGCCCATCCTCATGACACGTTATTCTGTGTCGCCAAGCCATAATCAAAACGTATCAATGGACAGACACTGTAGTGTGTCATGGGACACAATTGCGCGTGTCCATTAGGATATTCTCTCCTCCAGTGTGTTATTTGACACATCTTACTGCATCTGTAGACGCGTTGAAATGTGTCAACGCTTCTGACACATTTTATCACAACCGATATGAATAATTCTCTCATGACACATATACGTGCGTCAAATGACATACTATATCGTGTCATTTCTCTCAGTGTACGCTATCTGTGCTACACCGCCTGAACGCATCGAAGTAAGAGTACCATGAATTAACACGGAAGAAGAGAGATGTATAAAATGTTAATACTTTAATGAGAAGCAACCGAAAATTTTTGTGTTGGCTATCTCTCCTAACGCGCGAGGCCTACGATGCTACGCCATTCTAACTGATGCGCCGAGCAACCGGCTCTCCAATTTCGGTGGGATCTCCACAGTATTCAGGGCTTAGGTCGAGCTTGATTATCGAGGAGAGGTTGGTCCTGACAACCCTCCATGGCTTAGGACGAGCCTATTTCGGGTCGGCGTTTTCTCAGTATTCAGCGCTTAGGTCAAGCCCAATCACCGAGGAGAATGTCCCAGCCGTAATACAGGGCTTAAGTTGAACCTGTTTGGGAAGGGAACTTTCTCCTGAACGTACAGTGTTAAGGGCGTGATAGGCACTTGAGGGATCTCCTGGTCGACGGTCGCAGCGCACTTCACGAGCGTCCTCGCGGGGACTGGCTTGCGGAACGACCGTGAGGCGATCGTTCGTCATGCCCCGAGACCCTTGACTGAACTGGAATGTAAATACATCGAGGAGTAGCGAGACACTTTCTAGCCCATCGTCAAACTTCTTTGCACAGACATCAAACATGAATGGTGTCAATGAGAATGCTTCGGATCGCGGTGATCATCGCCCAATTCGAGACAAGTACACAGCAGTACCTGAACCGTTCGATGGAACAGGTGACTTCTCAATCTGGATCAATCAGTTTGACTTGTGTGCAGACGCCAATAGGTGGGATGAGATGAGGAAATTGAAAGTTCTCCCCACGAGATTGTCTGGTAAAGCTTTCATCAAATACATAAAAATAAGCCAGAGTTCGTCTCTAGGATATGAGAAAGTGAAAACAGCTCTGCAGAATGCCCAGCATCCCCCGGAATTGCAAGGTGCCCTTAGAATCGAGTTTCGTCAACGATCCAAAAAGGCCTCAGAAACACTAGAAGACTATTTTCAGCAATTGACCTTGTGCTTTAGAGCCTATCCGACAATGGCAGAAGAAGCACGAGAAGAATTATTGAAGGACCAATTCTTGCAAGTTTTACCTTGGAATTTGAGGTATAGAGTTCTACAATCTAGGCCTGCCGATGCTAGCCAAGCCCTCACTATGGCTAGAGAACAGAGCGCGTGGCTATCTATGGCCCGCTCTGCCAGTCAATAAGAAGACGTATGTGCTCTTCGTCATCAAATCGACCAACTAACTGCTCAACTCAAGAAGGGTAACAACCCATCTCAGAACCGGCCCCACGTTCGGACGACAGCCCCACGAAGATGGACTGATAATGGCACACGGCCACCCATGGCGTGCTGGACGTGTGGCAAAAAGGGGCATCGCTCACGCGAGTGTCATTCCGGGATGAAACCTAGAAAGCCTTATCAGCAAAGGAGGAGGGTTCAGGCACGGACCTATGTACATAAACGGTTTGCGGATTCCGCCCAACCCTTGAGCGCTGAAGCTAACCCATTTCAGCCCAGCATTAGTCGTTCAACTAGGGTTGGAAGTGGTGAGGTCTCACATCAGACCACTTCACAATTGGAGCCGTTAAACTAACGATGGCTGACGAAGACGGGCATTCACCAGCCAGTATATTTGTAAATAGTGAAATTCCCCTAGCATATCTTGTGAAAGCCCGCATCGATGAGCAAATGATTGAAATGATGATTGATACAGGAGCATCTCTGACTCTCGTCTCCGACGAATGGTTTGATCAGCACAAACGCCCAAACTGGGATTTGAGGCCAGCTTCCTCTTCGCCCAGCGCGGTTGATGGCAGACTAGTACAGTAGAAACGGTCGGTCACTTCAAGACTGATCTGTATATTGGCTCCACGGCTATATTTTTGAATATTTGGGTACTAAGAAATATGAAGTACCAGGGAATTTTGGGTCTTGATGTACTACAAGCTATGCAAGCTTCTCTGCAAATCCCTTCACGGATTATGCAGATAGGGTCAGACCAAATCCCCATGCATCCGGAATATCCCCTCTTTCATGAGGTGAGACTGCCCTGAGAACTGTGAGACCGAGTTGAATATATGTGCTCCCCAGGTCTGTCAACTTACTTATCAGCCCAAGGGCAGGGTCGCTGCCAGGGATCCTCTAAAACAGCGTCAGTGGACCCATAAACCTGTTAAAAAGGAGATGAAGAATTGGCCCTTGGCCCCGCTTTCCCACCAATCTCGCAAAGACCGAGATTCTGAAAAACATGGGAATTTGCCTCTTCCCAGACGACAACATCCACTTCAGCACAGTCTTGCTCTAACCGCCTACCCTACAACATTTCCAGTGTCGAACATGTCCCCAAGACGACCTCTCGTGCCGCACGAAGTGGGCGACATCCACCTAAATGGGCCGTACCAAGTTGCGGTGGTTGGCACCCACACTCGCTTTGTTCTGACGAGCAAGATGGATCGTGCTCTGGTCGGCCACCTTCTGCGAAAGGAACCTACCCTAGAACTATGGTTCAAACTTCAAGTTCCTAAATTTATGTTGCGTTTCTGTAAGTTAAATTGGGAAATCTCCCGTAGACGGCTGATTGCCGTACTTAAATTTTTATCGGAAAAAGAATTGGCAGGTGGGTGAACACGACTGCAGTCAGGTGGAATATGGGCCAGGTTTATTATTGATTACGGAATGATTACAGGTTTTGAGCGAACTTCAGGGGCTGTCCGAGAGGTATACATGTCCACGGATGAGAAATCCAAACGACGTCTTGTCCTTCAATGTCCCCGTACCTCCGGGTCTCGGGGGAACCCGGAGTCCTGTCCTCGTCCAGTTGCTGCAACGAAATTTCTGGTAGAATCGAGCACTACTCAAAAGGAGTGCCAGCCTCAAGTGAGGAGTCGATGAACCGTGGAAATTCTAACGTCTGCAGACACCTAGGTCCAGAGGCCTTCCTATCCGTAAGGGAAAGGGATTACAGGTGCTACAATCCGGTAGCCCTTCCGCTCGAGGTTTAGATCAGCGATCAAACCGAGCCGACCAGTCGATTAACAACTGGTATTTTGCCGTCTGGAGACACCAAGGTCCTGAGAAAGTCGTTCGGAGTCGTGGATCTTGTACCGTCGTAGTACGTCCTGGCTCGAGGTTTGAGTGGAGGTCAAACCGAGCAGGTGGTACGTACGTTGATGTTAACAGAGCTCGAGGTTCGGATCCGCGGACAGATTGGCGGCTGTTTACTCACATATGGAGCAGCGCCTTCTGAGCCGTTCCACTTCCTTTTAGGGGTGGATCCACGAATGGAATCGGGTCAACCGAGCTCTGGAGGAGTCGTCCAGCCGCAGACTCTTGGCAATTTCGTGTTTCAAAAACCTATAGGAAAGTTTATAGGTTTCCTATAAGAAATAACTATAGGTTTCCTATAGGACATTTTCGTAAGGGTACTCAAATGGGTGCCAGCCTCAAGTGAGGAGTCGATTAACCGTAGATAATTCTGCCGTCTGGAGACACCAAGGTCCTGAGGGAGTCGTTCGGAGTCGTGGATCCTGTACCATCGTAGTACGTCCTGGCTCGAGGTTTGAGTGGAGGTGAAACCGAGCAGGTGGTACGTACGTTGATGTCAACACAGCTCGAGGTTCGTGACCCGCGGACAGATTGGCGGCCGTTTACTCACAAACGGAGCAGCGCCTTCTGAGCCGTTCCACCTCCTTTAGGGGTGAATCCACGAATGGAATCGGGTCAACCGAGCTCTGGAGGAGTCGTCCAGCCGCAGGCTCTTGGCAGGCTCAAAAGCTTAGAGAAGGCTCCTAGCTCGAGCTGCTGAGTCGTGCAAGCGACCGACTGCCTCTCCCGGACTGAAGACGGGAGTTTTTATACCGGGAGGAGATCATAAAGTTGGGTCATTTGTGACCGTTGGAAAGAATTTGTCAGCAAGAAAAGCGGGGGGAGGGGGGGGGACCGTTTACTCACAAATGGAGCAGCGCCTTCTGAGCCGTTCCACCTCCTTTAGGGGTGGATCCACGAATGGAATCGGGTCAACCGAGCTCTGGAGGAGTCGTCCAGCCGCAGACTCTTGGCAGGCTCAAAAGCTTAGAGAAAGCTCCCAGCTCGAGCTGCTGAGTCGTGCAAGCGACTGACTGCCTCGGAGGAGTCGTCCGGTCGCAGGCTCTTGGCAGGCTCAAAAGCTTAGAGAGGGCTCCTAGCTCGAGCTGCTGAGTCGTGCAAGCGAATGACTGCCTCTCTCGGACTGAAGACGGGGGTTTTTATACCGGGAAGGAGATCATAAAGTTGGGTCATTTGTGACCGTTGCAAAGAATTTGTCAACAAGAAAAGCGAGGGAGGGGGTAAGACATGCGGAGCACACGTGCGGATCACGTGATTGTTCCTTACATCGGACATTGGGCTCCATATATCCCTATATACAGTACCAGGAATCTGCCTGGTACTTTAAATTAAAACGTTCCCCTNCTTACATCGGACATTGGGCTCCACATATCCCTATATACAGTACCAGGAATCTGCCTGGTACTTTAAATTAAAACGTTCCCCTTTTAAGAAGAGTAAGGAAGGCGATCTTACTTCCGTTTTTGCTACATAATAAAGACACTTTCGTTTTTTCTTCTTCCGTTAGCTCGTCATGCCAACCGAGATGTCCAGTCACGTATGTTTATAAAATGTGTCGAATGTCGATCGTTGGACTACAAACTGATGAGGGTTAACGACTACTAAGAGGTAAACAAGGAATTAGGTTACTGTGGAGCTTCAACTATGTTCATTTTTTTTTGTTTCATTGTGAAAATTCAGCCATTTAAATATGAGACTTTTTACTGGAATATTATCTGTATCATTTTATATCCCCTGTAAACCATTACCTCCCATGCATAAAGGTGATTAAACCATGAATAGAGGCCCTCTCTGATCGCCTCCAGTGTGGAAGCTCAGCAGAAGTGGGTTAAGGTGGAAGGTGATGAACGGGGGGAACCCTAATTGAAGGCTATGCCATGGAGCGAAGAGACTCGGAAGAAGGGCTTGCCATTCCCCCCCCCCCCCCCCCTCTCCCCGTTGAGAATCGAAGAGGCAATAAACGACCCTCATTAAGGAGGGGTTTGAACCCTTTAACTTGACTGGAGATGTGCCCGTCGTGCTCAATGGTGAATTGTTTTGACGCAATTGGGCCAATTCAGGAATGAAAATGAGATTGCGCCGAATTTTTACGTTTTGCCATGTCACGACGCCGATTCACTGCCGTGCTTCGCGCGAGTCCGCAGCATTCAGTTCGGAATTAAACCGGGCCTCAGAGGCAGAGAAATGCGAGGAATCTCAAATATGCTCCTCTCGCGACTCTCGAGCCATACGAATTGGCTCCACTGAGCAGTTGGCTCCCAGTTGCCGTGATGGCGGCGGACTGTTCGCATTCGCGATGCGAGGCGGGGTTCCCGGCCGGTTCCCCGTCTGGAACGGTGTGCGTCGGGTTTTCTGAATTTTCGGCCCGGGCCGAGGTCGAGGACTTGTTTGCGATAGGGAAACGGGTTCCGTCGGGGCCTAGGCCTAACGAGGCGTTTCTCGGTCGGCCTAACGTTAGCCGAGGTCCAGGCCTAATTCGACCGTATTGCGTAGTTTTACTCCAATATTGATTTTCTCGATGGTGTCTCTTGACGTGTCAAAGGGTTTCTGTCGAGTCGTGGAACTTTGGTCGGGTGTTACGGAACTCTTCCCCCTTCGAGCTACCTCTTATGCCTATGGACATATGTTTAATGGCAGTGTCTATTGGCCGAGCTGGCTCGGCCCTGACTTAGGGGACAAGCTGGAAAGTCACTTGACTCATGACTTCTCAGTTATTAGACCAATACTATATAGAAGAGAGCTCGGCCTCTAAGTTGTGGCCGAGCTAGCTTTCTGAAGTGGAAAAGAATTTGTATGGGTAGGCTAAAGTCTTAGAAGATGTGTATTCTGGAGAGATAGCTTTCATCATATTACTGGTGCCATATACATTTTTTCAGCACCTTCAACCAAAGAGTAACTATTAAATGCAGGATTCGACAAAATCCCTAAAATCTATGTGGTTGGGGTTGAGGGCTCACTCAAGGCCCTAGTTGTGTAAAGAGAAGAGCCCTTAATGGGTGATATCAACAGTTGATTTCAATTTACCCACATTCCAGCACAAGATATCTTAAATTAGTTGAGTTGCGTGTCATCTACTTCCTAATCTGACATAAGACATTTTAAACAACCATGATATACAACAATAATGAAGAGCTGTCTAGTCTTGTGCTGACGAGGTGAAAAAGATGGCTCAAAAGTCTTCTCACAAGGCAAACGAAGCAGTTTCCTCTACCTTGCATGACATGCCTGTGCTTGGTGGTCTGCAGGATACTGTATTATGTTAGTAATGATGTTGGAGATTATTATTCCCAGCTCGGGCAATAGACACTGCCGTGTTTAATATTGGTTGTGAATGGATTTACCTCTTTCCATCTACTCAGATTGTTAAGGTCCTTTTCCAGACACTAACATTTCTCTCATAGAAAAAAACATCTCAGTCTTCTGCATATAATTTCCAATATCATTCCATCAAAGACCCATACATATCCTTCACATATGCGAGGGGAAGTAATGGACCTCGAATAGACCCCTGAGAAACTCCCATGTTGACGAATTCCTTTCGTGCTTTTCCTTCCATCAAACTCGACACAACCTGAAACTCCGTGTCGCGGAACGCCCCTTCGGGTCCCCTTTCGTCACCCGTGCTCGATCCTCCCACGGAGCCACACCCCCCTGCTTGTAATGCTCCCAGGTAGCCAGTCACACACGGGCCGATGAAGGCAAATTCAAGGGGAAATATGAGGACCTACTTTGGCAGCCTGATTTGAGCCATGCAAGAAATGTCACTAGGGTCAGACTGGCCATACCTTTGGGCCCAGTATGCCAACTCCTGGGAGAAATATAGCCCATTTGGTCAGGACATGAAAAATGTATCATATAAGCAGCATTTTAATTTTCATGTGATAAATCAATGCCTACCTTTTGGCAAAAAAAGGGAAATTGATTTTTACTTTCAGCACTCATTACATGTTGGAAGTAATTCTTGTGGTATATGAGACAGATTTCCAGATCCCCATATCCCTCATAGTTTTGAACGTATTCCAGCTAAGAGGAGTCTCTTTTAAATGTCAGCTGCACCACTTTTCTTGGAATTCATTGCCAAAGGTTTATCTGCTTCCTTCAAAAATGTATGCATATTTAAAAACTGGGTTTTCTACTGCAACTAATGTAAATTGAATAATGTATGAAATTCAGATGTCTACAGCTGTGTTTACTAGAACTGAAGATGATATATTTGCCAAAAAATTGATATCTTACTCGAAAATGGCATAAAATGCATTTTCACTTTGCATTCTCATGCTACACTCATAAAACACATGAAGTCAATGTCAGATACTTGTGTAAATATGTGGTGTCACCTTTGAAATCCATTTGTTGGGCAGTATACATTCGTATATTACCTAGGCTTCAAAATTCACAAGTTTCACAAAATAATAGTTATTGACGAGAGTGACAAATGAATTTCCCTTATACCAAACATGACTTGAGGCAATAGGACATCAGAGAAGTCATAAACTGTATGCCATTATCTTGTCTAAGAAGTTCCCACTTCGCACAAAATGCAATACCACTTCTAAACACACCGAAAGAAGAAATTTGCAAAGCAGTGGCTCATTACGTTTCAAATGTGATTTCCAATTCTCATTCACTCTAATTGCCACAGCATCTCCCTGCAGGCATGATATTGAAATTGCTATTACTTGTTTTTTTCATTTTTTTTATTATCAAGTTAGTATAACCCATCAATACCTTTCAGGAAATATCACCTCTAGTGTTTTAATGTATGCTGTGGGATTGAATAAAATTTAATCTCAGTTTTCCTGGCCGATGTTTCCTCCATGCAACCCCTCTCTTTCAAAGGGAAATTCACCCTCTCCTGGTGTGGGGATGGGAATCATCTCACTCCCATGTTGATGAATCTCATCATTCATCAATTCCATTCTTCTTCTTGGTTTCTTCTTTTCCTCTGGTCCTGCAGATGCAAAATTGAGAAATTTGAGACTTATTAGAGAAATTACTAGGAAGCCCATTCAAAAGAACTGAAATGGGAAGAAATGTCATACTGTAAAACTGAATTTGGAGACTGAGATTAAGTTTCTATCTCAGTTCAATTATGCTGTGGCTCTTCCTTGCATGTTATTTTTAATCTCTAACCTTTTGCCTCTCTTCTGGGTAGCAAGGTTTGTGTGTTCCTTAACAAAATTAAAAAAAATACTGCTTCACATTGAATCTTTGCAGGGAATACTATATGAGACATGGTCTGCCTAGTGAGGAAACCCAATTCCCTTCAGAGATAGTTGAGTTGACATGTACCTCAGTGTTAAGCCAGCTTAACGCCTTAATTTGAAACTAGGTTGAAGTCTTTGAGCGTGTCTACATTAGACTATTAGCCACAGTTTGAAATACACCATTTGTGACTTTCTCTCATGCTTTTGAGAATAAGCAATCCCCTTAGGTTCAATGAACACCAGATATGGCAACATTTTAATTAATCCTCAAGCCTCAAAGAAGCAGGCAAACAAATTGTACATAACATGGGAAAATATATCAGGCAATTGTTTAACAGTACGAGTTGTTTTCAGCGAATTCCATGCCTTTTGATTATAATGTTGGTTTATGATAAGAAGAAATAGTTAATCCTACAGCACTAACCTGAGTGTAGTCCAGTCCAACAGATCTTTCTTCCTTTCTTCCTGGGGTCTTGAAATGTTGACTTTCTGTAGAACCCCTTTCCAGAAGAAAGCATCTATGATTTGACATTCTTCCTGCCCATCTCCAAGATCACCATGAAAGTCCAAAAAGGTCAGCAATCCTATTAGAGAAATCAGAAGAGTTGAAGTCATTGTTGATTTTACCAATAACTGCAGAATAAAATAGGCCAGTTAATTCAGTCTGCTTCATCAGTACAAATGCACTCTTATGGTTTCAGTATTGCACTGGAGCTTGTTTAAGCAGATGGTAAAGCACCTTTGTCTTTTTAGGACCAAGTGGAGTTAAATTAGTAGAGTCTAAACAATGTTTGAAAATTTGTTAAATTCCCTGGAAAACGGGAGTTTTGTGGTATGCCAGCCTTACTTCTAAAGATAAAGGCAGGCAGTTTAACCCTTTCGGTGTCCACTCGAATCATTGTCCCGCAGGCAAGCACGCAGGCGCATCCCAAATACGTACTCTGGATGACGCCGAAAGGGTTAAGGCTATCTACACCTTATCCCTCCTCTGGCCATTCTCTACAAATTTGTCACTTCCGGCCAAGCTGGTTGTAGGCATTTCTTTTTCTAAAGGATTCTTAGTTTCACCTGTTGGACTATGGAGTTGGTATTTGGTACTTCCAACAGTTTATCCAGATTTTGTCTTGTAAAATAATAAGGTAATATCTGGGGAACCAAGGTTTTGGAATAGGGCCAGGGACTGGTTAGGCAACTGAAAGGAACAAGACCTATGCCTTTTTGAGCAAATATAGGCCTTGATATAACTTGGTCTTATAAAATCTCTGAATTCAGAGGATGTCCTGTAATGGATAGAAAGGGCCCACTAACAATGAACTAAAATCATGAATGGGGTCAAGCTTCTCTGAAAAGGTCTTCATGTGGTTTTTCTTCATAAAAGTGCATTAAGGTTGTTTTTCCACAAGAAGCTGCCCATTTGGTTTTAGTCTCCATTCCCCATGAGAAACCTGGAAAAGTACTGGATGTGCACATTAATAAAATGAGAGAACTGATTGATGAAGGAAGTAAATATATAGGATTTTTCATTGACTCCAAGAAAGGATTCATTGCAGTTTCTCATGGCATACATATAAAAAAAACTCAACTGCCATGGAGTCTGAGGAAGAGTACTGTACTGGTTTCAAAGCTAATTAGGTAATAGGCACCAGTATGTTGAGTTTGATGTAATGAAAAGCATTAAGGGATTGGTCAGTGTAGGGGTTCCTCAGGGGTCTATCCTAGGTCCATTAATTTTATATGTGAAAGGACATTTGCAAGCATTTGTTGAAGGATATTTCAAATGATATGCAGATGATTCAAATGTTTTCTTCTATGGAAAATGTTTCAGAGTTATCAGTTAGAGTGAAAAAGACCTCAAGAATCTGAGTTCATGGATAAAAAGGCAAATGAGCTCATAATCAATATTTAAAAAAAATAATAATTTCATCGTGATAGAAAAATTAGGAAAAATGTTGGAATGTGTAGGGTAAAATTATCCTTTGTTGGGAACTTCTTCAAGAAGTAGATCAAATAGGTATTTTTGGGTAATTTTCAACAGAAGCCTTGTTTGGGACTAACACATACAACAAATCTAAATAAAAAAAAAGCTGTAATTAATGGGCTGATGAGTAAAGTATGCTGTGTAATCCAATGGTTACTCCTAGAGAAACATCAGCTTCACACTAATCCATCCCCATATAATTTACTGCATATCAATATGGGGTTATACATAAGTATTTGCAAGTTGCAGAAGTGTTTTAAAAAATGAAACCTTAAGATTATGAGGTTTTGTAGGCTATAGAGACCATACTAAAGTCTCTTTCTATTCTGGATCATTATGCCATTAAGAAAAATAATTTAGTTCAATCTTTGTCGAACAATTTATCAAGGAAGTGTAATTCTCAATATCAGAAACCTCAAGCTAACTTGGATTGCTGACTCCCCCACCCTCATTGAACTAGAGCTTCTAAAGCAGGAAATTTACAAATACAAAATTTCCAGAACAAAACATCTTACAAGAAGGACTACAGATGTGTAAGGAACTGCCTGAGGAGATAAGGGTTGCAAAATCAATCCAAATCTTTAAAGCCAAAGTATGAAACTATTTCAAGGAAAAGAATCAAATACAGGAACCAGCTCCTACCATAATTGGCTGATTAGGCTAACTGGATCCCCATGAAGAGATAAAGATAAATGAAGAAATCGATCAGAAAAATCAGCATTTTGATGTATCCCAACCTGGCCATCCATGGTAAGCCCAATTGGGTTCAATGGATCACCTTATTGCCCACTATTTGCATTTGCCTTCTTTTTCTATTTCTTCTCCTTTTCCCTATATATTTTTTGTGTATTCTTTCATTTTTGTCATTGCCTTTACTTTATCTTTTGACCTCATTTGCAAATATGTGGAAATTATTTTATTCTGTTTTGTTATGTGCTCCTATGTCTGGAAGCAAATTGCTCAGCAAATATATATTCATATATTCTCTAGCCTCTAATCTTCTGGCTTTCTTTTGAAGAGACCCAATCAACATCCTATAGCCTGTGAAATGGACCCCTTATGGAGTCAATCCAGTTGAGAGTGGGTTCGGTTGAGGCATATGCCTACATTTACTTGGGTAGTTTTAAAAGTTTGTAGCCTTAGTGGGAAGGGAATATGTATGCCTTTAAATATGTGTGTGTTAAGTTCGACTTTTTAGTAATTTACCCAGCATGTATGAAGGAGGTCCACTAATTTGTTCTCGTTTTACATGTCTTTAAAGCGAACAAGCTACCCTCAGTCAAGAAAATGTACAAAATCAGTCACCGTGCAGTCATCCAATATCTGCAGAAAAAAGGCTCTCCCTTCCACGCTTGAATTCCATTGACCACTTCTTAATGGTGGCATAGGCCACCCTATGTTTCATCCTCCCTCAATGTTGCCATCATGTCCTCTTGGATGGCCTTTGATGTTGTGCCTTTTCTCTGCACATATTGGATGACTGCACGGTGTCGAGACCTGTAAAACAAGAATAAATTAGTGGACCTCCTTCATACATGCTGGGTAAACATCAGAAGAGTCGAACACACATACTGTATATTTCATGATCTAGCATATTCCCTTCCCACTTCGGGTACAAACTTTTCAAACAACCTTTGTAAGATTCGACAACAGAATACAAATTTATCTCATCTATACACAGTGGAGAAACAGCTGACCACAAAGTGCCTATGGCTTCTGAGCATATGCATGTAACACGGTGGAATCTGAGAGCAGGGGAGACGAATTCATGGTCATTAGACATAAACCAGCAAAATCCAGTTTTCCGTAGGTTGCTTCATGCCAAGGATCGCCCAGAGACAGCCACAACTGCCCTCCTTATCCAGCATGTACCTGGCCCCTCACTGGATAATAACGCTTGCATATCACTCCTAGCTTTGCTGTATACCTCACCTTCAGTCCAATAGGCATAATTTCACACTAGAGTGACCTGAAGACTGGAGTAGGCCTTCGCCCTGCGACGAAACACTCAAGGCTACCCCAAGAGCTAAGCATGTAGAAACCTCATCTAATGGAAAGACACGAGTCTGATAAGACGAACAAGGATAGTCCCAAAAGCGTGAAATCTTAAGATCCAGGAGTACGAAAATCTTGGAACATCCAGTCGAAAGCACTTCAGCCGCTCCTTCGATCATTGGCCACTGTATCAGAAGTGTGTCTGGGTTTTCATGACGTAGTTCCTAGGACAGACGGGAGGTGGCACTGAAGTGCTACTTTCAAGTTAAACTGTTTTATTTCTTACCTGTCTGCGTTGTTGGTAGTCATAGGCAAAAGTTCGTTAATGATGCCGTGCATAAGAGACATATTTATATTTTCCTAGTGAATCAACTAGGAGAACAGCATTCCTATGGCATGCTGATCTTTCAAAGGATTGACATGAATAATCCAAAAATTGCTTTTAATATTCCAAGGAATATTAAATGGATGAATTTAGGATGCCGGCTCCCGTCTCCTATGTATTATACTTCTACTAATTTTTCGTTGTTGTTGCTTGGGGATGGTTGTAGCAAATCCTATTCCATGCGTCGCCGCACAAATCGTAGATCGACTTGGAAGCGCAACGGTCGCACATCAAACCAAGATTCTACCGCCTTTCGCTGCTGTTTGGAAGATGGCAGAAAATTTCATTTAGCAAAAGTGCACCTTCGATGGTGAGGAACGTTTTCGTTATAACGCCCAGTTCATATCTCGAAGAGTTTGGCCTGTAGAGTTTTCACACGCACACGCACGTTACGCACGCACACGCATGTTTCAGTCTCCCTCGCAAGCGGCCGGGATGGTGCAAACTATGTTTAACCGGGACCCGATTATCTAGCGACATCCGTCCTCGGGTTTGAACTTGGATAATACCCCTACGTCTGTCCTGCAGAACGGGAGAGAAGCGCGAAGAACGCTTGCGCACTTGCACATCCTCGCGTTGTTTCCGAGCGTTCCCCAGAGTATGAAGACGATGCCTGCCGTGACAAAAGGTCACGTCATTCTGCAATTCTATATTTTGAGCGAGGAAACTGTGGTGATGGGTTTCCTTGCGGAGCCCGTACGAACGCAAGCTGCGAGGAACTCACGTAATTCATCACTAGAGCATGATTTCTCTTAATTTGTGACAGTACGCAGGAGGCAAACTCGTGAGCGATGCCACCGTCCCCTGTCGAGTCCCGCGCCAACTTTAGTCTTCTCGTCCATCCTGAAGATGGCGAGACGGGAGTGAAACTTAGATTTTCCGTGGAAGTTGCATGCCTTTCGTGTGGCCCGTATTTAAATTTCTTTCGAACAGCCACTGCCTCGGATGACAGGGATGATTTATGCGCAAACTCAGTTCATATCTCGAAGCGTTTGGCCGGTAGAATTGTCAGACACAAACACATTCGTCGCTCGGTCTATCGAGGGGTTAGGATCGCGCATGCTATATGTTTAACTGGCGTAGATGTTCTCATCCTCAGATTGAAATTAGTTGCGACTGGTATATCCAATACATATATCTGAGCCTCACTTCATGCCTTGTGAAGAAAGCCCTCTATCTCCACGCTATCTGTCTGCACACAACGAGACCGAACGACGAAGTAACCGTCATAGACGAGCATTCCCAAGCCCGCTCCCCCAGGTCTGATAAGCGGAGCCTCCCGATTCCGGGATGGCACCTGATAGGGCACAGTCGGCGAAAGCGAGCGCTGTGACTGTTCTCTCTACCCTGGTTTTTATCACTCTTTCACGTTTTGTGTAGTCATCTCTGCTATAAGTAGGTCATTTCATTTTTGCATCCCAATTTCGCCTAATCTACTTTTCGCATGCAGGAAACTCAACGTCACAGCAGTTTGTCCTCGCAAAAAAGATATTGCCTATGAAGGGAACCACCCCTCGTTGGAAGATATGCAGGTTATGACCAGGTGAGAATTGTTCCAGTTCTCCAAAATCTCATTTTGAGGAATAAATAATCAAAGTTGCCTTAGAATTTCATTGCGTAAAAATTACTGAACAATTAGGTACTGGAATTATCATTTCCACTCCCATTTTCTGTTATGTGTGCCTAATGAATTTTCGACTGATTCATTCATTGGCATGCTAGAGCTAAATAGTTGAAACATTCACCCCGAAAAAGTTAAATATTTTAATTTCCAGTCATTACCTTATTCAACCTGGTGGCTTCATGAGGCGGAAGTTTTGACCCTCTGATCCTGCTACATTGATCATTATTGATCTTTTTTTTTGGGGTGGGGGGGAATTCTGGGGAGCACTTGAGCTCCCCTTGCATGCAGCGAAAGTTCCTAGAAGAAAATGAGTGTTTTATAATTGTGAGTATTATTTATTATTAAACGAAATACAAGTCGGAAGCAGCCCTCTGGCATGGATGCGTGATACGACCGTCGCAGTTGACTTTCCTTATATCTAACATGCGTTAGTCCCATCCAGTACAGCAACGAATTTGAATTTCCTTGTCGCATATGACTTTCTTACTTCCCCGATTTGACCTAAAAAAAGATCCATGAAATTAGTTTTTTTTTTTTCTGTGGGAGCGTCTCATTTCCTTCCTTCGACACATGACACCGTTTTTGTTGTTTTGCTCATAGTTCCTCTCCTAAAAGCCATCCTTGCATGGGGCAAGCACTACATCAGCACCTAACTCGCCCCACTCATTCACCCCAAAACAAGCGAAAGTCTTATTAATATTTGAGAATCACTCGACTCTTAGCATCCACTTCTGGTTTCCCCTTGTTTCATACCCAAGGTGCTACCTCCCCAGGAGAGAGCCCACAAGTAGGTCTGTGATTCCTTATGTCATTCCTCGCGTGGGACGGATGCCCTTCAATGGATAGAGCAGGCCTCGAGTGTTCCACAGGAACGTAACGTAACGGGTGACGCTCTCCTTGCTCGCTTTTCAGTTGGGGGTATCACCATAACTGTCATGGGTACCAACGCTAATGTCTGTTTATTCCTGATCGTGGGAGTTATGTGATGGAAGGTGGGAGAAGGAACACAATAGGAATGACACCCCGCACAATTTTGATCGCAGATGTGTATGGCGCCAGCGCGGTTCCTCTCGCTGAGGACACGGAGACACGAGGAAAAAGAAATACTTGTTGCTCTCTATTTAGCCTAAAATCAGAGATGCTCCGTCTCCCTCGATACGGTTGGGAAACAGGTGTCTAATATTAATACAAAGAGTAGAACAGGAATGCTTCATCCCAAGAGAAGGAAGGACTGTGAAGGGACTGGGGACTCGCACATAATGACGCATGTGAAAGGATTAAGATAATCTTGAATTTTCAGTATCTGGAAATTCATGTTTAAGAGAAAGAAGCAGCACCCTTGCTCATCGGCTCACTGAGCACTGACCCTCCCCGTGCCCGACAACAGCTTTCTATCCCGTCATTCACCTGTTAAAGAGCTGCCCGAAGTTTCAATGTTTCTTCCTCTCGCGTTCTCCTATTCCTTTTTTGCTCTGTGTTGCTGCTGGAATTCTGAAAATCGATATCAACTGCAGAGACATTTGGCTTTTAGCTGGTCATGAATATTACCAGTGTGAGCTTGAGAGGACATGTTTACGTTATTCTAGGCCTAAAGCTAAAAAGAGTGTAAAGGATTGAGGAAAATAATTATACATTTTATTATGCATTCATGTAATGAAAGAAACCAGTCGATAAGATTGACTGAGTTATGAAGATTGTGATCCTAAGTTAAAGTCCTGTCATTCTTCCGACATCACTAGATCCAGCAAAATGATGCTGAAAGAAAAGGGTTATGCACGCCAACACCTACATGAGACCCCTGACCTTACTTCGAGTCACGCTTGTGCGTGGATTGAGCCCATCGTTGAACGTTGCGGCGAATATGTCCTTCCCTGTGAAAATTGCGGTCTGTGTGATCCTTCTCATGACTGCGTTCACAGCATATTTCCAATACTTCCCTTTTCCTTTGGAGAGGCACTGGAGGACGCACTCGTATGAAGACTTTGATTCCAAGCCGATCAAACGCTCGTTCCATCCAAATTCCTCAAGCGGAAATCTCATCTCGATCGGGGAGCCAGAGGATAAAAGCGCGTCGAACCGGTTCTGGCCGGAATTCCCCCATCCGTGGAAGTTGCATGCCTTTCGTGTGGCCCGTATTTAAATTTCTTTCGAACAGCCACTGCCTCGGATGACAGGGATGATTTATGCGCAAACTCAGTTCATATCTCGA